GGATGTGCCCTTAAACTTGTATGCGTTGAAGTTAACAGACATAGCAATGGCACGCCCAAAAGCACACATATAGACTTCCACACACAGAGGCAGTGGCTAAATCTGGCACTCTAGAGAACCCAAACTCACCCCCAACGCACCCTCCAGAGTGTGGGTATTCCAGGGCCTGGGATAAACTGGGTGTCAGTCCTCTCTCTTCAGGGTATCAAGTTCTGCCTTCCTGCCAAGGATTAAGAGATCAGCCTGGAGCCAGAAGCTCAAGAGCAGCTTGCCAAGCAGGTCCCCACCTCTCAGCTGCACAGGGAGCAAGAGCTCTTCCCACTTCCCATGTGCTTCCAAACAGTGCAGAGGCAGAGGGAAAGTCTCGCCTCTTCAGCCCCTCCCTGAGCAGACAGTGGGGCTGCTGCAGAGCCTACGCTGATCCCGAAAGCCAAGCAAGAAAGGAGAAGCTGCACAGAGCCCCGGGCCGGAAGCCAGACCCCTGCACAAGGCACCAGTGAGGAGGAAGGCACTGGCCTCAACTTCCACTCCAAAATGCTAGGCAGTCAAATGTCAGCTGCTCCTGGACCACCCAGGGGCCTGGCCAGGAGAGGGGGCTTCCCATTAGCAGGAATGCCAGTGAGTGCGTTGGGGATGTCGAGGGATGTCCCCAGGCAGAAAATGTGATGGGGACCAATACTGGCCAACACACTCACATTCCTATTTCTTCCTCTTCCTCTCTCTCTGTCTCTCAGAGGTCTCAGCAGAGGTCAATAGAGGAAGCAGCCTGCTCTGGAAGGCAAAAGGTCATCTACTATAGGCATACCTCAGAGATACTGTGGGTTCAGGTCCAGACCACCACAATAAAGTGAGCTGTAACCTTTGCTGGTGGAGGGCCTTGCCTTTCATTTGTAAAAAAGTGCAAGCTCTGGGAAGTGCAATAAAGCAAAGCGCAATGAAATAAGGTATACCTGTAGTCATCTCTTGAGTTCCCTAATACATAAATTGGGCAAATGTTTGCTTATGGCTTTGAATTTCACTGGGGTCCGAGACCAAGAAGAATTAAGTACACAGACTACAAGTTCCAACCAGAGGGAGGTAGTGTTGCTGTTATTCAAATACAGTGAGCGCCCATGTGCATGAGGGAAAGCATCTGTTTCCAGTGCTGTGAGCTTCTTCCTCATCCCATTTTGTCTCCCAAAGTAGAAGCAACCGAAACCTACACAACCCACTTTTTTCTCAAATTCTACACTGAACTCTTAGTTTTTCTAAGAGTTTCTTTTACATCACTGAGGGTGCAGGCTCTGATTCGGAAAGAAAACCATATGACACAACAGGGCACGTAGAGCAGGGAGCACTCGACTGTGTCCGTGGGTCGGTCCATGATGGGGGCTGTGGGAATCATAAAGTGCAAAGCTGGATCCACACCTCTGCTGAGAACAGTATGGGATCTGGAATCCTAGTGGGATTGCTATCAACTCCAGGCATAATACACTGTCCTCTTCCACCTGCAATCCCCTCCGCCCACAAAGCTGCCCAGGGTGGAATATGATAATTTGTCATAATATATTATACATCTACTATGAGTGAAGAAATTTACATACATTAAACAATATAAGCTGGCCTAAAACACTGCAGTATAGAGTCTAATTATCCACATTTTTACTAGATTACCAAGAAGGAAAATAACTTAGCTAGAATCACATGACTAGTAGAGCAAGGGAGAGATCTGAGCCCCCTTTGGTTTCAAAGCCCATGGCCTAAAACTACAGGACGTTGAAAAAAGAGATAGAGGAAGACATAAACAGATGGAAGAACATACCGTGTTCATGGATTGGTAGAATCAAATAAGCTGGCCTAAAACACTGCAGTATAGAGTCTAATTATCCACATTTTTACTAGATTACAAAGAAGGAAAATAACTTAGCTAGAATCACATGACTAGTAGAGCAAGGGAGAGATCTGAGCCCCCTTTGGTTTCAAAGCCCATGGCCTTTCCTCTACTGCCCATCAGGCTTAAAAATTCTCGTGTGTGTGTGTGTGTGTGTGTGTGTGTGTGTGTGTGTGTGTGTCTGTGTATGCGTGCATGTGTTTATCATTATTTAAGATTAACCTGATACATATTCATAGAGGCATGGGGTCTTAATGACCAAATACAACATTGAAATCTCCTACATAACATGCATAAACAGGCATCTGATCCAGACACTTGCCCCTATGCTGTCATCAGCCATGGCAGATCCTTCTCATAAATTTATTCTTTTGACCTGCCAGGTGCTTAGCACAGCGCTAGGTACACCGTAGGCACTTGCCATTTAATCTCACTGGTGATTACTTTGTTAAGATTGCATATTACAGTAGTAATAAATCCTTAGATGCTGAAAGATGAATTATCACTAACTTTGATGCAAAAACAAAAGTCTCAGACATTGGGAGAAACACCAACTTGACCAACAGAGGAGGTGTCCCACCCACTGGGCAAAAACATTAATATTTGAACCTCACTAATAGATTGACCCCCCCACTTGGTATATATCTTACAATCTCTATAGGAAACAGCAATTATGATGACATATGGAAAGCCCTGATTTTGTGAGTGGGCCCTAATTTGGAGTGACTTTTTGGATCGGGGTTCTCTATTCTCTGTAAAGGTGGCATACAGCCCCACTCAGAAAATGGCTGTGAAGATTTCAAATACTCCCAGCCAGTGTGGCTCAGTGGTTGAGCGTTGACCTATGAACCAGGAGGTTGTGGTTCGATTCCCAGTCAGGGCACATGTCTAGGTTGTGGGCTCGATTCTCGACAGGGGGTGTCTAGGGGGCAGCTGATCAATGATTCTCTCTCATTCATTGATGTTTCTATCTCTCTCTTTCCCTCACCCTTCCTCTCTGAAATCAATAAAAATATATATTTTTAAAAATTCCAAATACCATGTCTACAGACATATAAGCAATTCAATCAACCCAGGTGGTATCTCGGCACCTCCCATGGCTTTCTGCCTCAAGTAGGACAGAGTCAGACCCATGTCCTAAACAAAGCAAGGCCTCTCAGGAGCTGTGACCTTAGGTCAGCAACCTCACCTCTCTGAGTCCCAGTTTCCTCATCAGCAAAGATGAAACATCACCTATCTCATAAGGTTGTTTTGTGAAGAAAACATAATAATATTTGCCAGTGGTCACCCCATGCCCAATATATAGAAGCAACTCAGTAAATGTTAGTTGGGTTTGAATGTGCACAGAACAGCTCTGACATATACACGTCCTGTTGAATAGGGACCGTGGAAAAAAACAAAACAAAAACAAAACAAAACAAAACAAAAAGTCGTGGTGACAAGTAAAAGAGAAAAGGAAAGAAGGGGTAGTGACAAAAGTTAAAAATAGAGACCATATTTTAAAACCTGACTCCTTTCAACCAATAATTTTAACTTATTGTTTAAAAGTAAAGTGCACTGCTTAAAAGTTGGTCTCCATGCATTCTGATAGCTGGAAAGAATAACAACCAGGCAAGCAACCAAAAGGGGCCCAGAAGACCTGGTTGTACTGACTTGGTTTGGATAAAGGGGGCAGCCTCAGGCACCTCCCACTGCAACCGTTTCTCAACCCTCAGATGCTTCTCTAATGTGACAGTTTAGAAACCAGAGGTCACATCAAGGAACCCCCCAAAGAAGACATTTTTCAGATTCTAACCTGGTACCACAATTCTGAAATCCAAAACTAGAAAAGCCACAAAGAAAGCTCCCCTTTATTGAGCACCTACCTAGTATGTGCCAGGCTTGGTGCTAAGCCCCCCTTTTACAGGTAAGAAAGCTACTACTGAGCATCCCCCAAAGACTCTCGCTATGTCTCAGCTGCTCACATATCCTCAAGGACCCAAGTCTGCATGACATGTGGAAACTTCTGCTTGAGTCTTCAGATCTAATCACAGGGCTGGATTCTGCAAAACTTCATCATACAATCTAGCTCAGCCGTGGGCAAACTACGGCCCGCGGGCTGGATCCGGCCCGTTTGAAATGAATAAAACTAAAAAAAAAAAAAAAGGCCGTACCCTTTTATGTAATGATGTTTACTTTGAATTTATATTAGTTCACACAAACACTCCATCCATGCTTTTGTTCCGGCCCTCCGGTCCAGTTTAAGAACCCATTGTGGCCCTCGAGTCAAAAAGTTTGCCCACCCCTGATCTAGCTCCACAGCAATAGTAAGTCTGGGAAGAGGGTGGAGCTGGGTCAGAGGAAGAGAGAAGAGACCTTAAACCTTTAGGAGACACCTCTAGTTTGCAAATAATGGTCAGAGGCTGCCAGGAGAAGTGTGCATTTCCTTTCTACAAAATAATCTCTCCCAGAAAAAAAAAGCTAGTCACCTGGCCTTCCTAGGCAAAATAAATAAAGTCCTTCTTCCAAGATTCACACTGAACTCCTAACCCTTCCAGCCCCTCCCAGCCCCAGGGAGCGGCTAAAAGGTTGTTGTTTCTTTTCTTTTTTTCCCTGTGGTCCCCTGGTAACACCACAAATTATGTTTTCAGGGACTCCAGTCCCAGAGTGCAGTGATGTTGTAATAAACATAACCAGGACCAAATGCCTTCCCATCATATTAGATGATGCCATTTTCCACCAATCAGGCTCCTCCGGCAGGCAGGCCACTCACCAATGAGGGACCAGACAGAAGCTGTGAGGGGGAGACCTGGGCATCTGCAACCAAAAATAAGGGCGCTTCACGATTGGCTGCTGCCACTTTGCAACAGGAGTTGGGACCCACACACCAGGCACCACACAGAAGGCACACACACAAGCAAAAACTTTCACAGCCCAGGCGTTCACATGGGGTGGGCTGGTCTGGGGTTTGTTGTTGGGTTTTTTCCCTTTTCCCAATTTGCTGACTTGAAAAAAAGAAATAAAGACGATCCAGAGCAGCCCCTCGCAGACACGCCCTCCCTCCTTAGACACCTCAGTTTCCAAAAGCCCTTCGCAAGCACCCTGAATCTAGAAAGGGAAGGGGGTGTAGGCCAGGGGCCAAGACACTCACCTGTCCGGCCGTGTCATAGAGTCCCAGGAGGTACTGCTTGCCCCCAACGGTGACGCTGACTGCAGGGGCAGAAGCGGGGGCGGGGAGAAAAGCTCACAATTACTTAGACGCTGGGGCAATTTCGCTTCCCACCAGGACCTTCCACTCCCAACCCAGCTGGAAGCAGGAGGGCGCTGGAAGGGAGATGTCACCCCTTTTCCCTAGTGCCCGGCTCACTCTGAAGTGGCGTGAGGTGGGGGTGCGATGGACCCCCCAGCTACAGCCTACACCCTTCTCCCAAGTCCCGCAGCCCCGTGTCTCCCGCCCGGTCCCCCAAATGTTTTCCCGGGGGCTTGGGGCAGTAGGGGAGGCGGTGGTTGGGAAGGTCAAGGAGGTTGGTGCAGGACGCCAAGGGGGTTGGGAAGTGTGGGGAGCTGGCACTGAGTGCGCAGGGAGGGGAGTGGGGGTAGGAAGAGGGGTCCCATCTGCCCGCAAAGCCAAGTCCCGCAGCCCCGTGTCTCCCGCCCGGTCCCCCAAATGTTTTCCCGGGGGCTTGGGGCAGTAGGGGAGGCGGTGGTTGGGAAGGTCAAGGAGGTTGGTGCAGGACGCCAAGGGGGTTGGGAAGTGTGGGGAGCTGGCACTGAGTGCGCAGGGAGGGGAGTGGGGGTAGGAAGAGGGGTCCCATCTGCCCGCAAAGGGGTGGCCGGAGGCAAAGCCTGGGGGTGGGGCTGGCG